CATTTCAAATCATCGTGAATACTATCAAATGTCACAAAACCGTGAAATCATACAAATGCAGTGTTGATAACCAATCTACAAACATTGCTTCATTGTATCTTTCGAAGCAATTCACCAAATCCCAAAACACCTATAGTGGAGGCGAAACTACTTTAAGAATAAAGAGTTTACTCGCTTTGAAAGCAATAAATTGTATAAGCGAAAGCAATAAATTGTATGTATGTATATATATCCTAGCTTTTCTAGCCTTATTTTAGAACTCCAAAACCAACGGTAATTGTATCGAGAGATAAGTCACAGTTGTTCAAACTTAACATCAATAGTCTCCATAAATCATAATATTTGTTAAGTAGGTCAATTGATCATCCATTATTAGTTACCAGTTTGAGTTCTCTTATTGTTAATCGAGTTTTGTCCATCTACTAAATCCGGGGTCCCATGATATTAGTTAAGACGTGCAAAAACTGACTTAACTTCTTAAACTTTGTTTTTGCATGTAGCATGACTTGATACCACTCATTTAAACGGTCTAAATGAGAAAGTGATTGTGATTCCTTTCACCAACCACCAATTTCCAGATAAAATCCAACAGTTAATCTATAGATCTAAATACACCAAATTCAATTAAGTCGACATCTTCTTCATCCCACACCATCAGAACATGTAACATGTCGATTTCGAAAGATTTCTTCTCTCATTCTCTTCTATTTTCTCTCACAATAAAAAATAATTTTAAAAATATAATTAATAAATAGAGTGGAAAAAGGTATAAAAAGACAAGTAAGAAAAAAAAGGATATACAGAATAAGTGCAATCAATGGGTGCATGATGATGAATAAAAAAGTCAAAATGGATTACATTTTTGTTTTTTCAAATTTAACTCTCTTTCTCAACTTTAAAGTTGTGATGGGGATCAATCAACATACTTCCACTTTGTCTCCATTTTTTGTTTTCTTCATTTATTTATTAATAATGCTTAGTTTTTAATACATATTTTAAAAACCGGGAAAAACGACATTTCTACTATACCTTTAATACCCAAGACAAAGGGTGGTATGCGAGTAGAAGTGAAAGTGGGAAGCGTAAGAAATGATCTAAACCATTGATTACTTTTAATCTCACTCTCACTCATGAATTGCGTTTATCGTAAGAATTGATAAGATGCACCGCATAGTGTTGATTTTCCATCGGGATTGATTTCATCATAACTTTCATCTTTACTGAAACCAGTCTTAATATTTAAATTGTTTTTTAATACATTTTTATATTAAAAAATATTAAAAAATTTATAGTGTTACTATCTCACCTCCACGGTGAGAGCAGGGGTAGAGGTAGAGGCAGATGTAGAGAGGTAGGGGCATTGCTTTTTCTGTCATAGTAAAGGGAATAAATTGGCACTGGCGTTGTCTTCAGTAGATGGGGCCCACCTTAAATCTTGGTCCAACTAGGTCCCCACGTCATACATGGGGCCTATCAACTGGGCCAAACAGGGCCCACCTATTGCGTATGTGTGTAGAAAATTAAAATGGTGACATGAGCATTTTGCTTTGATGGGTTGGTGTCGTTAAGTGGAGACCCGGCCCCACCCACCTCTCTTAATAACAAATTATTGAGTATCATGTCCACGTCAAAACCAAAACCACTTTTTTTTTTTTTTTTTAATTTCTTTATATTTTTTTAAGCAAAAAGTCGATTAATGACAAACACAACTGGTTTCATATGAAACTTGCTGCCTCACTCGATGACCGTTTGAGATCGAACCCATAACTTGTTTTGTATTTAGACAAAGTCGTTTCACCTCTTTACTAACTGAGTCACAAGTTGGAGGCTAATTTCTTCGTATTTTTTGTTTAAAATAGTTTAATTTCATTTTATTTTCTTAAGGGTATTGGTGTCATTTGCACTATGTTGTGTTTTATTTTATTTTTGCAAAATAATAGACAAATTCAATAAATTATTGATTTCCGTAAAACGACAATTAAAAGAATATGGAAAACGAAATGATGCCGGTTTACGATGTGAACATCTTTAAAAATACGGGAATGATAAAAACGAGACGAGTTCTTCATGGAAAGATGAATACAGATTTTTAAGGATTGTACTGTGCCTTATAAAAATGTAGGAGACAACAACATACACTAAGTTAGAGCACTACACATGATACGTTATTTGTCACCTGTCGGATAGGAAGCATGACCAACAAAAAAACCATTGTCAAACATCAATGCTCCAACATTAACAACGAGAGAAATTCATCGTGGAAGCCACTACGTGTCAATATTCAAGGGAAACATCAGCACAGTATCTCAATGAGTTTTTGAACACTGAATTTTAGTTATGGATTAAGCTGTTTCACATATGATGTTTGTCATGTTTTAATCCTTGCTGCTATATTTGTTCTCAAAGGTGTTCATTTATAACAGTACATATACTATTCGTTTTGGATTGACATTAACCACATGTTTTTTTGGGCAAGTTATTAGATATATTGTACCTTTTTGCCCATTAGAATCAAATTGAGACTACTATTTTTTCCGTTCCCAAAAATAAGACATTTAATTTGATATATAATTTAATAAAAGTTGCACGACTATTAATTAAATGTAAACAAATTAATAAAGACGAGATAAAAGAAAACATGTAAAGCAAAATATAACGCACTCATTTTGGATAATCTAGAATAGAAAAAAAGGGAGTAACTTTGATTCTTGCCATTTGTTTTATTTTTATTAAAACAAATTAATTATTTAATTAATAGTTAAATATTTTATAAACTACACATTAAGTTAACAGTGTACTTTTTAGGTAAATTGAATAATAAAGTACCTATTTATTAAAATAAAAATAAAAAAAATAAAGTCATTGTAGGTTAATTCAAAGTAAACCCTTTTTTTAATTAAAAAACGCGTGAGGTTAATGATTAATTTTCTGGGCATAACAAGTAATAAATATTTAATTACAAAATAATAAAAGTAAATGCACCATGACTTTAGCAAATTAGTTAGTTAAGCACTATCGGTATTTATTAGGGGTTATTTGTTTATCTCTTAATAATTCTATTAAGAGATAACTTTTGAACCGTTAAGAGGTGAATCTTGTTTGGCAAGAAAAAGTTTGCCTCTAATTGGTTTCAAAACCCTCTGAATGATTTTGTATCATGGATCTCCCTTAACCATTAGTAGCTCTAATTTCATTGTACATAATTACCAAACAATTATATTTCATTTTGCATTATATCATGAGAGTCTCTTAATCATTCTGACTACTTAATCATTGTGCAACAAACCATTCAGCAATTGTCAAACAACCCCTTAGTGATTTAACTGATTGGTATTGTAAATTAGTTACTGATTCATATATTTATTAACGATGTTGTATACTACGAACATGAATCCTGAATAAAATTTACACGACCCTCTAATCATTATGGCTTTTTTATTTACTTAAACGATCTGTTTAAGATTGATAAACGGGTTGAAAACATAATAATCATAAGAGGGCTAATGTTTGTTTCTCTCTCACACACAAACACACTAAGTGTGTGTTATTCTTACTCAACCTTTGCTTTGCTTTGCTTGCATATCACACTTGAAATGTGATGTGTAGGTGTGGTACAATTGGACATGATGTAAAAGTTTGTCATTCCACCATTTTGCTGCATGCCTTTGTCTCTTTGTTCTCTTCTTTTTCACCATAAAGCTTTTACCCACAAATAGTTAAAAAGATGCCACTAACATGTTTTGGGTTGTTGGGGAGGTGTTGTTCAATTCAAGCAACCAGCTTGATTGACTCCAATCTTTTTTCACAAGGATACCCTTCTTTTTCCAACCAAATTCGATACAACTTCTCTTACACCAGGTACAAATTTGTATTACATGACCGTGTCGGTTATATCCCCAAAAGATGATCCACCTTTTCGAAACCGAACACCCTTTATTTTTCTCCAAACTAGCATCACTATGGTCTAAACTCACAAAACATACCAAGTGATTGTTACCCAAAACTTGTACCAAAAAATGAAAAATTGAAGAATATCGTGGTAACCATTCATCTGTACAGTGTGTACATATGCATATAAGTAATTGAAGTTGTTTATTGGTTTTTATGCATGTTATACACATGTACATACCGAACAAATTACTTTTATGCATATGTGCATACCATCCAGATAAACAGTTATCAATGTTTCATTTTCTTTTATGGTTTCCCCCGAACCTGAACCATGTATATAACAACCAGGGTTTTATTCTGTTAGTTTTTTTTCTTGAATATTTTAGTGGAAGTTTGGTGGGAGAGAATAGTGGTAGGGGGACATGAGTTAATGACCGGAAACTAACAATTTCTACTTTGAGGAATGTGAAGGGTGAATCATAGTACAAGTCGTTGATGGTTTTGTTTCATTGGAAGCATGAAACAAGTCTTGAATCAGGTCAAATTCAATGACAACAAGGGACCCAATGCATGTGTGTGTTGTACGTTAAGGTATAATTTGTGTACTAAGGACAAGTCAATTTACCAGCAGTACTTTTTATTCAGTATGATAGAAAGAGATGTAGACCATTCATATCATGTATATTTGTTGCATTAAAATCTGCATATGAAGTAACCAAATGTGAAACAGTGAGTTGTATTTCATGATGTAAAACTTGTACATTTGGCAATGATGTTTACTCAGCAACTACTCTTTGGAGTTTTGTAACAAATGAGGTGAATCAGATTGACCAAATGAACATGGTCTTTTGCATTTTTGTTACCTCAACAACCAACATGATGTTTTATGGGGATGTATGAAATGTGCATGTTTTCATTTTAGCATATAAAAAACAACCCATCCTTCCAACACTACAAAGGGAATCATATGCTTTCAGGAAGAATTGTATACCATACCAGTCTGAATCCTCTTTCTATGGATCCAATTTTTCTTGGTTAACAAATTTGTTAACATAATGAAGCTATCGGAGAAAAACAAACTGAACCGTATTTTATACTACGACGAGAATTAGATATCATTACCATTCAAAATATTATACGGAAGGTGGTTCTACACCAAGTCTACAGAATCTATACAACTACAACTACAAAAAAGAGTGATAATATTTGGTTCAAGTAGATGATGGCATACATGACAGAGATGGGAAAGATAATCACCAGACGGAAGGGCTTCCTCCCACCAAAAAGATTTCGTTCTCCACGTCTTTCACCCACTGGCACACGCGGTTGCATATCCTTATGGCCAGACCCTACAAGTTACGAGATTGAACACCAATTATCATAAACTTTCTCAAGTCCCAACAAAAAAACAAATAATCTGTTTTTTTTTTTTGCTTTCACTTTGATCATACATGGTGCATACATTGATGGAAACTAGAACATGAGTAGGTGGAGTTGAGTCTATGGACTAATGTAAAGAGCAAATCTAGTAATGTAAGAATGAGGAACAATGAATGTTAGTCATACCACTAGAATAAGTTGGATGACATTCTCAAGCAGTTTCGTGGCCACAAAATCCCAAGTGAAGTCAAGGGTAAGTTAAGAGATGGCAATGAAGGTGCACCGTGTGCAGAAGATTATAATTGGATAACATACTAACATCAATATATGTGTATTCTTCTCTATACATACCCTCCTATTTCTTTTGATGCTTATATTTCTTTTGATGCTTATATTTCTTTTGATGCAATGAAGTTAATACTTAATCTCACCTTGTCTGCAAGCGGATCAAATGCTGCATAAAGTTCAAAATCCTGTGTGACCCAGCATAGTAAGACTGTAATAATACCAAAGAAAGCTATCTAGATAAGAACCATAATAATATTGATTAAAAAAAAATTTAAGAGTGTGACTGTTTGACCATGAATTCTAATAGAAAGAGAGCATGTGTTATCATAAGGGTTCAAAGTTCAGATTTCACCATGCCACAGTGAAAATAATGCAAGCACTCGAATTTTAAAGTACATTTTTTATTGGTTTTGCTCACAAAACCTTACTATTTTTCCGTTTGGAAGTTGTTGAGAATGGTCCACAACCCAATATAGAGAAAATACAACTTGCATGAAGATAATATATATACACACACATACATAACCCTTGGTATTTCACTCACTGTCAATAGGTTTGGATTGGAACCCGGAAAAATACAACAGGCTAATATGGTATGAGAGAAAGTCTACTTTTCCATTGCATGCCCAAGGTGTCGCTCAAACTATTCATTTAGAAGGCCTGGGAGACCACAGATAAGGTGAAAATTTAGTTGCCCACTCATTGACGCTCCCTTGATAATTAACTAACTATATATGAGGGTGAATTCAAACTCAAGGTCCAGATTATCTTGACCAAGCTCTAACCACTTGGCAAGCTTAGCTGGGAACCACCCAAATGATTTCTCCAAGTGCAAGCCTTCAACACAACAGAAAGGGGCATGTTCAAGACTAGTGATCCCCACATTAGTAAATACAACTCAAGTGATTGACACATCATCATCGGTTAATCCACTAATCACCGATTGGTTTTAAGTTGGAATATTAGAGGTCTAATAGTAATTATATAAAAAAAAAACAATTACCAAGTGAAGTGGTATGTTTAATGTCAATGAAGCAATTATATATATCTTAAAACTTGAAAGATACATAGCTAAGACCAACCACTGTTGATAGCTGAGGAATAATAAACTTTACCAAAATTTTCATTCCTCTTGAACTGAGTTTTATGGGGCCCAGTTCCTTTATCATGCATGGAAGCATAAAGCTTCTGATATGCTCTATATAATCTGTACCATAAAAAACAATCGTTACTTGTAGCAGATGTCCAAAGAAACTTTGGACTAGAACTACAAATGTAGTATGCATGTTGATGTAACCTAATTACCTTTTCTGCCGTTGGTGACCAGTGATTGGAGATGAAAACTCGGAAGATACATACTGATCTAGATACATATTGCGATATATAAAGTGCCAGAGTCCCGCAGGACCACCAATACCTACAAATGCTTCGTGTAATCTCTCTTGAGGTCCTGTAACCAGCCTGGGCTCATTCAAATGGAATAATGACACAGAACGAGTTGATGGGTAAACAGGTAAATCCTCAACACGCATGCCACCTTCCAACAAGGATCTTTGAATTTCACTTAGAACGTGAGACTTCAAAAGGACCATTTCAATACGTATCCTATAAAAAGTTGAAATATCTTAAAAGAGAGAGTTTGAAAGGACTATATTCAACAACTATGAAATTAGTATAGGACACGACATTAAGCCATCTTCCTACGTAAGTCCTGTCACCTAACTTCCTTCATAGGGAGTGGGAAAAGAGCACATATTTAAAAAGGCAACATGGTACAAACCAAATAATATTTACCGGCAATCTTTTAGATGAAAAAAGGCATCTGAACTTGATGTCAGCAACACCAAGTACGTATCAACCTGCCACATACATAATGCAGCACTAATTTCATCTTCAATATAATTTATATGTGAGCAATGTAGCATTACAAAAAAATTCTACACTACTAGAAATTCACTTGCATCAAAATAATGAACATAAGCATGTAGAAATGCCATAGGGTTGTATCTCGGCAAACAAATAGGCGAGAATGATTCGGATGTCCTGCATCAAACAGTAACATGGCAGTATCAGATTACTATCTTTTGCTAAAAAATCCAGCTACTATATGAAATTAATCATTTAGTGATCTTAACGATCCATCCCTATATATTTCACACTATACTTTCTATTATTTGTTTTACAGTATATAAAAATAAATAATATAACATGCTAATTATTGTTTCATTAGAACGAGTAGTAAGAATTCACCAATGAAACTTTCTGACAGATTCCTTATTCCTTGTGTATGGGTTACAAAGAATAACAAAACAGCAACAGCTACTAACATATTCATCTGAAAGGTACTTATATAATTTGATATGAAGCAAAGAGTACACCCCAAGAAGAAAGAAATTATAGCTAACAGATCTAATAACAAACTTCTTTTTATCAATTTGATTTGTGGCAAGGGGGTTTAACAAGACAAAGGAAGTCAATTTCCATATAAGAAAGAAGAAAGTAGCACTATCAGCAAGTTTACATATTACAATATATAATAGTACAACATTATTTACCCGAGGTTCAAGTCATTCTAGTTTAAAATTTGTGCTGCTGTTCCAAGGGACGACCCACTCCTGTTTCCTTGGTTGGTTCTTGACTCTTGGTTTGGTTCCAGATGAAAGCCGTGAAAGCAATATAGGACTAACACATATGTAAGGTACACGAGTATATATGTACAAACAGGCAAGTGATTACTCCTTCGACCAGTCACCTTCTGTTCGATTGCGCTACACATTTTTGGGTTATACCACCCTCTCACACTTCCCCTTCCCTTTGCATACTTCAGAATGAAAAATAAAAAACATAATAAGCTAGAATTTCAAGACTCAAACAAATGTTGAAAACTCTGTGAACCATATTCAGTCGGATACTTTTTAAGAGGTTAGGTAGGTGGTTAAGTGAAATTAAGGGGCTGTTTACTAAACGCCACTTTACCTTATCGGATGAACATGACAAGGACTGAAAATCTGAAGCCATAACAAGAACCAAGAGTCTTACCCGGTAAGTGAGAGTGACGATTCTTACCTCACTCTTACCCGGTAAGCGCTTACCGGATAAAATTGTTGCATACAATGTTGTTTTAATAGATTAAAATCTTATCCGGTAAGTTAAGTCTAGAGGAAGACAATGATCTGGAATTTATGCGGGGAGCTCTGTTCGAGAGGAAGCATTGGCTCTTATCGAAATACCTTTTGGCCATTACAATAAGCTTCTTACTTGTTTCCAGAAAGATTTTAAGCTTCTTAAGATTCCGTTTATGGCCATTATATTATAACATCGTTTGCAAAGAGAGGGAGAGTGCTTCCTCTGAGTTTTGCTTCACTTTACTTTATTTCATTTTGGAATTTGCGAATAAAGGAACAGGCGGCATGTTTAGCMGCCACAAAGCATGGGAAAAGGAAGAAAAAAGCCGACTAGGGAATAAGGGGCCGTCCTATATCCCGCACGAGAGGAAATCCCATTCTTTTTTCATATTTGTCTATCAGGTGAGTCCATAGCTTAAGATTTCAGCACTTYACTGCCAAACGTCCTTTCTTCATTCTATTGTTGAATCTTACCGGTAATGCTTATCGGGTAACAGATGGGTAAACGGCCCCTATCGGTCTAACAATTCTTAAGAGATGGTTAGCAGATGTCCCATGAACAGGACTGGGGGAATCTAGAAAAAAACCCATGGAAGTAAGTTGTTGAACACAAACACAAATATCTATTTTTCATACAGGGAAGCATGCAATGGTACATATAGAAAACACACAACTCAGAACAACCAACTGGAAAAAAGTTTCTACAATTCAAATTTCAAAAGATGAAATAATGCACTTGCCTAAAAGATTCAGATGACATGATAAAGTTAGCAAGCAGCAACATATCATCAGGATGAAGTGATGCTTTCTGTGTGCCTACCAGACTGACAACCTGTGGTTTAGCATCAATTTAAAAATTCTATCAATAAAACGAGATGAAAAAGAACCATTTCTGTTTCAACAAGACTAACAAGGTGGAAGGAGGGGGGAAGTTGAGGACTTGAGGTAAAAAGTAATGGCAGAAAAAAACCTTGTATTTACACATCAACATTGTAAAGAGGACACCTGAATCAGCAACATCCTGTAATATTGCACCAGCAGCTTGCCTCGTTGCATAAGGAAGGGGAAGACAAGTGTATGCATGAAGAAAAGTGGCAGGGTTCCTGAATCAAATATTTGGCACAGGATTCTTAGCATCCTGGATTTGATATCACCAATATGTTGTTCAAGCATTAATTTATTTCAAAAACTAACCACTCACATTTATCAAATAATAGCCGATTAATGTAAAAGCCCAAGACTTGATCCTAACTTTAGCATGAATGAACTAATGAATATCGAAGTTGACCCTGCTGCAGCTATATGACATTTTAAGAAAACGTTATGCCAAATGCCAATGATCCCAAAGCAAGTTCCTGGGAAGTATGGTTAAGATGGTTGCAAGGTAATCATAGTGGGACCAAATAAAAACACTCACAAATAACAATTATTACCTGCCGAAAATTAGACAATTAAAAAACCCATTCTGTCCTCTATTCTCATATAGACTTTAGATTCTTGCATAGGAGACCTAGAAAATTAATTAGAAACGGTTTGAGGGGGTAACAAACCCCTATGGTTGAAAAGAGTTATGTTCATATATGCTAATTAATTTATATGTCTTGGTTAATGCATTTCTTACAATTGCAACATAAGATGTCATACACATACTTCAAATAGAAAGAAAAAATAAATTTTGCAGATTGAAACACAACTTTAGGGACCAGGTGAACTAAACTTAAGCATGAACTTTTTATTTTTATATATTTACACATTCAGTATTTATAATTTTGTAACTGCTTATTAAGTACTTATATTTGCTGAATTGGTCTTAAAAAATGGCTAAACAGAAGTACATATTCAGAGAATAACAAAATAAGGGCAAAATGATCAGCTTAAAGAATCTTATCTTCATGTGAGACAATTAGGGCACATAAGGAAACTTCCAAACCGACTTGGATGGGGAGAATTTCTCCCTCCAAATAACGCTATATATGGAGTGACTCCACACTGATTTGGATAAAACCATATTAGGTTCAGGGATTTGAATATTCCCCAATTGCTTCGGCTCACTTGCAGTGGGAACATTTTAGCTATATATCTACATGTTTACATAAGACGAATGATATATATTTGTATGATTTCCCAAAGTTCTTCCATGCCTCAATGTAAATAGCCAATATAGGTTCAGGTGATAACGTCTTGATCATCTAAACATATGATATGCGTCTTTTGTAGGTTTCTACATAATACAAATGATGATGATATTACTTGCATTCTGAATGAACATGGGAGGACCTTTAAAACTTGACTTTTAAGTATTGTTGTGGCCCATCATAACAACCTGTGTCCCACCACAGGCCCCTAAACTAGTAAAACTAATAGCAAGCAGTTCAAAGAGAGAAGGTAAAACCAACCAACTGAAAGAGTGGAAGAGAGAAGAGAAAACAACATCTGTTCCTCCAAGCAAAGGTGTCATGTCAAATTTAGAGTTCTTCTCAAAACATCTATTTACAGACTTTGTAAGTATAAGTACCATCTGCATCCATGTAATACACAATAAGTACGCCATGAAAATTCCAGTAACTGTAACGACAATAAGAATGTGATGAGATACCCATCACACAAATTGATAGGAAGTAACATGCATTGCTACCTGACCATAAAGAAGTTCCAGTTGCCCCCATAGTGACTCATAAGGCTCTTCTGTACAGCTTATACAAACTAAATAAATTGGTTCTTTCACAAGAAAAACCACCTGTAGAGCACAAAAATTGTGGTCAAGTGTTGCAGTATTTGTGGTGGAACCAATTTTGTTACAGTCAACAAAACATGGATCCCTATTTGTTCATCCATATGGTTCATATGAAGCAACATTCATTTCTAGTAGATGTTGCAATAGAAGGTAGCATGTCTCTTGCACAGCTGAACATACAGACCAAAAACTTCCAAACTTTAAACTTAATATGTGCTTATCACTAAATTAATTCATTATTATGCTGGAGGCAATGTTTCTTGCATGGTTTAATGTAGTTATCAATTTTGTATTAAAGATTCTTCAAACTCATATCGTATTTAGAATTTAATGCAATCTATAGTTAGATTCTAAAAAAACAAAGCAGGCGTTTTATATGAGATGAAAGAGTAATATGTGAATATATTGTTGGAAGTACATGCAGTTAGAGCATTTCTGACCTGGTGTTTTCCCGCCCTAACCAATTTAACCTGGTCTCCCCTGAAAAGAGATCAATGAAGCAAACTATTGGAAACTCTTATTTCATCTTTGAAAAGATTAGCAAACACAGCAACAAGCAGAAAGAGTAAATTCAGTTATATAACAAAATAATAGATGCTAATATATTACCCGTTTTTCACAAAAGAAATAATGGCTTGTAGAGTTGCTGAAAATCCTGCTAGCTTGTGTTCATCCCCATATCTGGAAGTCAATCCAAAGAAGGTCGGGAAAAATGAGTCCTACATTTTCCTAAGAATATTCACATATTCCAAATGGAACAGTGAAATATACATCATCAATATGAAACTTATAAACACATGCCTACCTTGAATATATTGGTTTTCCAGAATGACTCAAAACAAAAAAGTGTTTCTTCCTTTCTCTCCATGACACAGAAGCATCATCCTGCACTTTATTCATTATTAATTGAAATTTATTACAGGCAGCAATATACTATAGGCATCAAGCAATATCTATTTAAAAAGGATTAAGATATGATAAACTGTGGAGTTCTGGAACCTCTAACACATAAAACCGAAGTGGAAACTAAAGTAGAAAAATCTCTGTCATCCCCCGCTTAAGCATAATAAATTATACTTTGTTTAACATCTATATATTTAGACAGTTCAAAAACTTCTACGTACTGCTAAACAGATATAAAAGCTCCATAGATTATACAACATGAAAAAACAGTATTCTCAACCGCTATCCAATCATCCATTGGATGTTGGATTTTGATCCGATCCAATCTGATTAACATTGGGCATCCAATCCGATTCAAATCCAATGGATGATTGGATTAGATCGATTCCATCCATTGGATGTTACTATTGGTTATCCATTGGATCAGATTGGATTCCTTCAATCTTCTTATCTAATACTTAACCAATTAATCCACCATTTTGACCAATTATTCATATATTTTCTTAAGTTATTAAAAAACAATGTATATAAATATCAACTAAAAACCAATATCGTAAAATGTTAATAATCATATATATTTATTATTGGATATTAGTTGGATGATAATTGGATTGTTATTAAAATTGGATAGGTTTGGTTTTATTGGATGTTGGACTGCGATCCAAGAACGGCCGATCCGATTTGGATGTTGAAATTTTGGATCCGATCAGATCCAATAACAATTGGATATCCGATTATGATCGGTCGGTTTAAATTGGATCGAATGACTTTTTGTACATCTCTAACAGCTTCTACCGGAGCATGTTTCAGCAGATTTCTTTTTTCCTAATTTAAGAGATCGCGTCTCTTGGCCAATCTTACCTCTTGGACCACGAAATTCATTAGATAACTTTGCTTGAAAAATTATCCTTTGCCAACCCATCTTTCACCTATTTGGCTTGTTGCCTTGTTCACTCTTAACTCCATTTCTTCCTTATTTGTTTCTTCTCCAAAATAGAAAGAATCTCCTAGGATAAATTCCCAGAGATGAACATGTACCAGCATCCTTTTTATCCCCTCATCTCCATTAGTAGATCCATACACACCATATTTTATCTCCTTCAAGAGAATTGTAATATTCATCTTCTACTAGTGGGTTTCTCATGGTGGTTTCCTCCATCCATGTTTTTTTTTCGCGATTTGGGTTTCCATGTAAATCTCGGTGTCGTATTTCTAACTCTTATCTCTTTACTTTTTGTTGGATGTTTATTGTCTTCATGAATCGCCCATGTTTATATGTTCTTAGAACATTGTTTTGTACACTAAGAACATCTTTGTGTGTTCAAGTTAGAGATTCTTCGGACACCAACTTATGCTTGTTTGACTTCGGTTAACATTAGCATCTTCTGTTTAAGTTGGTTACAACTTCCCTCCGGTTACAACAAATGGTGCCAGAAGCACCCTTGTTCTATAACAGAAACAAATCGATCTACAATGGTATCTGCTTGACAAAGGCAGTAAAGCTTCAGCGACGAATCAAACTTCATGGAAAACCGATTGGTAATGGAGCTGAAAGATTACGATCTCATCAACGAATAATGGTAGAACAATAACTACTCATTTCCGTTAAAATTTTATCAGTGTGGATGATTCTGTTAAGCCTTTTCTTGAAAACTAACGACACTCACAAATTAAAGAAAACATCAGGATGCCTCAAAATTCAAAAACTCACCTCATCAACGTGCCGTTTACCGGGAACCCACTGTGATTTAGCAGAACCCAACGAATCTCCATCCTCACCCACGGAAGAACTATTATTCCGAAGTTCCTGAATATCATCAGCTCCAGACGCACGAGTAGCACCACCACCACTACCCCTCTCAGCGGCATACCCACTGATACATGGACTTGACATTGCCCCGTCAATCTCCACCTCCGAGTTATTCCTCCACATTCCCGCCGCCCTCGACAACTTACTCTCCTCAGTCGAGTTTATCAGCCTCTCGCTTTCAATTTCCTTCAAAGATCCATTTCTGACCTCCGTGGCAGGTTGGTGATGATCATCAGCAACCGATGGCATTTCTTCATTAACTGCAGTATTCAATGCCATCGATGACAACTGGTTTTCGATGGCGTCGAGAGTGTTACCGATTGAATCGGTGTTATGGTCGATATCAGGTCTTTGCCCGGCGGATTCTTCTTCGGAGGAGGATGATGATGAAGAGCTCGAATCTGACGTCATTGAAGGCGTAATCTATGAAAAAACAATTTCGAGTATGAGTGTAAGGGTTCAAAAATTGGAGAAATTAGGGTTTTGAGTTGAGAGAGAGAGAGGGAAGCAATAACAACGACGTTTACCACTCACGATCTTCGTCTGTCGGAAACTTCGGCCGACCAGAGGAACCGAAGAAATACGGGTCGGTAACAATACCCACCCGGGGTTTGGATGCGGGAGGCTGCTAAAACCGACCAATTAATGCGTTTTATAAGGATATTGATTATGTGTATCTCATTAGACCATCCACATACATCTTTCAAATTGAATTGCAAATGGATTGTTGTCAGAATAACTTTGCCACATAGGATTCATAATTGCAAATTTTGCAATTCACATTGCAAGCCACGTGGGCCATCCACTTCCTTCCAATTTTATTTTTTTTGTTTTAATTATTTAAATAAATTATTTTTATACAAAACAATTAATTTTATAAATTAATAATGTTAATATATTTTTAATTATATTAATTATATAATAAATTAAATTATTTTAAACATTAAATTTTATAATTACATAAAATTATAATCTAATATATAAAATTATATCATATTATATCATATATTAATCGTTTTAATTAATATTGAATTAAAATAAAACATGTTATTAATTAAAAAATAATTAGAATGTATATATAAATAATTTATAAAATAGTTAATAAATATTGTAGTGGGGACCATTTTTGAAAGTGTAGGTGACGTGGCACAGTTGAAAGTGTTTATAGGTGAATTGCAGGTGTGTGGAAGATAATTGCAAAAGCTGATGTGGCACAATTGAAAGTGTAAATGAATTGCAGGGATGTGGATGGTCTTAGTTTTGATCTAGTGTTTTTCTTCAATTAGGATTGATTCAAGGGTGACTCTTATCCCTCTCATTATAACTTTCATTTTCACCAGAACCTAACTTTTATATATATATATATATATATATATATATATGTGTAAGGAATGATTCAAATGAGAACACTTTCATTTTACAAAAACACGATAACACCGTTTAACGATAGTCAATCACATATGATACACATGTGATATTAAATTAATTAGATATGCGGACGACCTTAGACGCAAACCTCGACATGAAATAAAAGACAACCCAATACCATAATGGACCTGTGAAATCTTCAAACCTTATATATTTGATTGAAATTGGGTTATGGTCATTTAAAATCCAACTTGATAAAAATTATATCTTTTTATCTTTTGAATTTAATATGATCGTTAAGATACTATTAATATGTATATTAGACAATTACACACTTAGTTATCTTTTCATATACACATATTTTTATTTTCTTCTCCTTCCTATACATGTTCAAATTGAGAAAAACAGTTCAATGTGATATACTTAAAATTTGATGATGATGGAAAAAAAAATTATGAGTAAAGAAACAATATACATAATGTTAGAAAAATATTTTGATCTAACAACGTATCAACCCAACCAACCTAACTAACCCGACCAACTCGTACAATTTGGGTTAGTTGGGTGGGTTAAGATTTCCAACGTAAACATCGGACTTGGTTGTTTAAATACCTTCAATCCGATCAACCGAAGACTAGGGATGAAGAACCCTAGTTGAGAAATCCAAAATCGACTCCAAAATCTGGAAATCGACTTCTTGTTTCTCCCTCTGAAAATCGACAGAGCAGAAAATCGGTTCCTCTTCTCTGAAAATCGGTTGAGCAGCAAATTGGTTCCTCTCTTCTCTTTGATTTTTGTCCTCTAAACCCCCTCTCTATTTACGTCCTCTCTGAAATCGATCAATCCTCATGTCGTCTTCTTCTTGATTCGACATTTATGAACCGAATAAATACCTCCCACCGAGAAAAACCGCTCGAATCATGCACAAAACATGATATGGGGGTCGCCGATGGCTTGGGATGTGGCTAAAACCACTCGAAAATCGCCTAAACTAAAGATCGATGGTTACTGGATTTGGAAGCTGCTGTTGGATTTCTTCTTATTTTTCTTCACTACTAGGCTGCTCTGATTAGTGGTGGCCAAAAATCGGTCCCAGGCCGGGGTGGGCCTAATCGGTCTCAAGCTTTCTCGTAACCGGCCATAACCACTCCCGGTCAAAAATGGTAAGACCAGTCAAGGTTTTTCATAACCGGTTATGGGCCGCCGGTCCCGGCATTAAAAAATATTTTTTAATTTTTTTAATGATATATATTTTTAATACATTATAAAATTTGTAATTGGGTCACTCAAATACACTTTCAAAATGCATTTTAATATAATTAAAATTACATTGTTTTAAAAAAAATTAATTATAAAATTATTTAAAAATACATTTATTTATAAAATTATTTGAATTTTCGGGCCGGGCCATAACCAGTCCCGGTCCCACAAAACTACCAAAAACTCCAACCTGTCCCGGTTTTCGGTCCCATAACCGATCCTTACCGGTCCCAATTTCGGTCCTCCGGCAGTCCCGGGCCGGGCCATTTGGTCATCACTAGCTATGATGGCGTCCATTTCTTTGCAGTCGGCAACGATCTTGGGCCTTTGACATTTGGGCTCTTTTTCTCTTTTATATACATTATACAACCCCAAACAAAACAAACAAGAGCAACAAAACAAGTGGAGTAAGACGTTGGTTTTATCAAGAGCCATTTGGCTTGTTCAACTTTAGTCCCATTTGAGAAATATACCCATTCTTATAGATATGTGAAATATACGTTCCATTTTACTTAAATCCATCCTTTTTTACACCTACCAAAAATCAAGATTAGTGGGGTCTATTATCTATTAAATCATGATGAAGTGCAAGAGAAGCCCACCTCAAGATGAGTGTTCTCCTATTCCGACTTCCCCAGAGCCTCCGATAGCACAGCCGAGACAGCGACGGTTTATCTGCCCCTGCGGGGATTTGATATAAATCTGAGTGCGAATATGCATTTATCAGTGTTAAAATAGGTCAAACAAAACAATTGTTCAACATTTAGTATAACAAAACATAACAAGACAAAATATATAAATAACCAGTTTATCCCTAATGAATTTTTTATAAATTTTGATTATTCAAGTAATTTATTAAGTTATAATAAAATAAAATATTTTTTATAACAAAATATATCATTAGAAAGTTTTCATTAAAACAATTAAAATGACAACAAAATAAAAAAATTATGTAGCTTTCGATTTTTATTTTATATATTTTGTAGATTATGTTTATTATTAGTATTTAATAACTTACAAAAATTAATCAGAATATATAAACCATATAAAAATAGTATATTAAGGACAGTTGTGTTACAGTTTAAAGAACCCAAAATACAACAAATAAAATTTAAAGAACGAATAAAATCTAAAAAATGATGTTTATTTGATGTTTTAGAAAAAAAAAAATAGGTTTTATTTTGAAATTATACTGGTAAATATAGGTTTGTTTTACGTTGTTCCATGGGGTGAGGGCGAAACATAATTGTGAAACAAATGTATTTCACTATGTTCATGTTTGTTCCACTTGAAGGTTCTGGCAAACATGAAACAGTTATTCTATTCTGTTTTATTTTGTCATGTGTATCATACGTACCTAAAGAGCCACTACCCTACCCCAAAAAAAATATGGTCTTTTATATAATTATTTTGACCCCTATAACAGGGTACCCCCCTTTACCTCATCAGTTGTCCGCCATTGTGTCAAATCGTCAAGAGAGGAAGATGAGAAGTGGTGGGAGAGAAATGAGAAAATCCTAGAAAAATCGGCTTAAAAATTGACCTGGACATGAATGCGGGTTTCCATGCGCCAAAAGTTAGTCGCCCTTGTCCAAAAAAAATCCGCACACAAGGCCTAATGCAGGTTTTCAAGCAATAAACCCTGCATTCTAACCCGCATTGACCACCGATTGACTCTCATGTGCCTCTTTCTAATAACTTAACATAAAATTTCACTCCATCTTATTTCCGAGCGACGTAACTTGATTTAAAAAAAAGTATATTTAAGGTTAAAATAGAAAGCGAAATATCAAGACACAAATAATAAAAATATTTCCGAATGTTAGAAAGTGGCATGCATTATCTTGTAGATTTGTGTTAAAACGGTTAAACATCAAATTATTTAAATGAGTTGTATCTTGGCATGAAACTCATAAGAAGCAGACTTAGACAAGGGTTTAAGGAACTGCAAATATTGTGTAATTTCTGAAACCTTTTAATCTCTGTATTTGTATTTAAAATGATGTAACGGGGCAGTATACAGTATCTTGTATTACCTTTTTTAAATTTTGATAAAAGAAAAATAGCGGTAAACACCTATTTACCACCCTCTACTTTATATAACATCCCCAATATCAGATATCAATGCAACAAAGTCATCATTTTTTTCATCCTTAGGCCAAACAAACGTTGAAACCTAACTCTGAAAAGCACAATATACGACGTTGATATTTATGTTTCTTTTTCTTAACATATAACGACTCTCTTAAAAACCTTTATTCCTATAAAGAAAATCCAAGCTCGCTTCATGTTGACTTTTTGAGAAGATTGTTATTCTCTAATGACCCAAATATTCGATCATATTTATACTTAGGGGTCATTGACCAAAAATTTATTGGATAATGGCTCACCAATAAAAGTTAGTACACTCATTCACCATCAAAATAAATTGTGATGTTTAACTATCATATTCGTTATTCTGAAATTGTCTTTTTAAATCAACTAATACCTTAAATCATCAACCTTATCTTGTCAAACAAAATTCACCTTTTAACGATTCATAGGCTACCTCTTAATAGAACTATTAAGAGGTAAACAAACAACCCCAAGGTGAATCTTGTTTCTCAATAAAAGATTATACTTTTCAATGGTTTTAAAACCTTCTGAATTGTTTTGTATCTTGGGTCTTCCTGAACCTTCCAGTGTCCTGATTTCATTATGAACAATTACCATACAACTATATTTCATTTTACAATTTATCATAAGAACCTCTTAATCATTTTAACTACTTAGGGTTGTTTGACAGTTGCTGAATGGTTTGGTGTAAAATGATTAATTGGTCAGAATTATTAAGAGTCTTTCATAATATAGTGCAAAATGAAATATAATTCTTTGGTAATTGTTTAGAGTGAAATTAAGGGGCTGAATGGTTATAGGAGACACATGATACAAAATCATTTAGAATGTTTTAGAACCATTAAGAAACATATATTTTTTTTGCCAAACAAAATTCACCTCTAAATGATTCAGATGTTGTCTTTTAATCAATGTATACCAAATTATTCAACAACAACCAAACAATTCTGAAATAAATAATGTTTCTATATTTTTTTTTATCTCCCTATATCGATTAAAAAGTATAGATGCAGAAAGTTGAAAACATTAATGTACACTGGTCAAAGAAGAAAACCTTAAAACTAATATGGGGCCTTCATTTGTTTTGTAGTGTCGTTTTTACCCAAAGATTAAATGGAACCTTTAAAATGAAAAAACATGGTTGTCTAACATAACATGATGACTACATAAGTTTTATAGCACTTAAATAATTTGAGTTAAATGGTGTTCATTTGTTTTCATTCAATTAATTTATACTATATTATAAAGCATTTAATAAAAATTATTAAAAACTATTTTTTATGCATAAAATACTGTATATTGATACATATTATTTAAAATTCAATATTACAAATAAATTATGAAGTACAACTTATTAAAGCTCTATGTTTGAATTTGTGTAACTAACTGTAGATAAACTTAACGAAATAGAGGATAAACATTTTATTTTAAAATATAAAAATTCAAAAAATATAATTAGGATAATTATCGAGTTCTAACAAAATAATCAATTATTATCTTTATAAAAAAAATAATATTATTAAACCAAATATAAATTACTTCGCTATTGAACCTAAATCAAATTATAATAAAAAAATTGAATTAAAAAATTATACAAAATATAGGAATTTTAAATAGTTAATTTAATACTAGTATCGATATATTTTTGTCAAATTTTTATGATATATTCAAATTTATATTTTATTCAATAATAAAAACATCATCGTTTTTTTCAAAATTACATAAAACCATACTATAACATTGACCGAGATAAAGAATAAAATGAAATATTAAAATCAAGATGCATCTCGCTGTATTGCGCAATTACTCTTCTAATCTTTTAAAATAAAATTGTGGGAAAAATGATAATCACTTTTTAATTACTTAAACTTATAAAAGGAGTTAAATGGAGAGAGATAATGAATTTGTTTTATATTACTAATATTCTAATAATATAAATAATGTTAAAATCTATAATATAAAATGATAAAACTATAACAATTAAAGTTAGCTTCTTCTTTTTTTTTTGTAATATTTTGATTTTTATCTTTTTATTTTGAAAAAACTAAAATAAAGAAAATGAGAGAAATAAATATTTTTTCTCCAAATATGTGGAAGACCCTAAAAATGATTATCAAGTAATACTACCAATAGAAAATTTGAAAAATAAATATTTAAAAAAAGAAATAATAAATTAATGAAACATTTTAACATTACAATTAATATTGGATTTTTAAAAATGAAAAATTAGTTAGAGATAAATATAATTTTTGAAATAAAAATTAAAAAAATATTAGAAATTCTCTAATTTACTCCGAAACTTCCTATACATATAATTATTCTGTAAAGGTGGGTTTTCCTCTTTTTCCCTTCTTAATGATTAAATAAATAAAGGATACCTTGAAACTTGAGTTACTTTCGGTGAGTTAAAACTTAAATATGATACTAATTTGACACGTGTTTTCGTAAACCATTTATTTCAAACTTCAATTAAACCATTTTTTTTTTCAGAAATCTCTAATACTTCACATTAAATCTTATAATAAACCGATAAATTTGTGTGAAATTCAATTTAAACAATAAATCTATTTATGATTAATATCAAAACAAAAATATTATATTTTAGGTATATTATTTTTAACTTTTTTTTCTTAATGTAAATGAAAAATGATACACTAAATTTGATTTGTTATTATTCACTACATCAAATTTGAAGTAAGGTTTAATGTCAAATTTGGTATTTAACGCATTAAAGATTTTCTTTTTGGATTAACCTGGATATTCAACCCGCTATGCAAGCCGATTAATCCCAAAACGATCGCCCGCTTTACAGATAGCCCGGAGTCATCGCATTTGAACTTCCGTGACCACAATAGAATTTTTATTTCTCCTTGGATTTAAACCCGAAACTTTTTGATACTTTTGACCTTTAAAGTCAAGTTTAAACCAAATAGATACCACCTTTATGGTTAAGACATTAATTTTTTATGTTATTATTATTATTACTGTTTTAAAAAAAAAGAAAAAAGGAAAATAATGTAACACTGTAAAAACCGACAAAGAATACGTACGGAACCCGTCATTTCATTTTTTTTTTTAACCATTTCGAAAAGTATGGTGACCAGTTTTTATACAAATATGAATAATAAGTAACAGTTGTTGTTTTAATTATTGTTTTATTAAACTCATAATCAATTGTTACGTTGCATCTTTCCTATGCACTGCAGTTTGCATTCAAAGGGTGTAAAGTTGACCCATAATTGCCATGATGCTTCCTCCTGTTCCGGTTCCACTGCAATTATTTATATGTTTCTGCCGTATTTTGGGGAAATGAAACAAAAGATAAAGAACCAAAATTTCAGGTGTAAATGTAAAATCCAACTTCAAACCACAAATTTAATTTTCAATTCATATCAAAATCCCGAATTTACATTCTTAATCAACTATCAATCGTCTCCGATGCTTGTCATGGAAACGGATTCACCAAAATCAGATCAAAACGAAATGATCGTTGGACGGATCAACAAATTAGGGCTCAAAAACGGCAGTTACAATGCTGATCATAAATTATCTATGCAATTTTCTCTCTTGAATCCGCAAATATTTAGTTAAGAAATGGAAAGTAGATGACTGTTAGTCTTCGAACCCGGTTTTTTCCCAAATTGCGTTTCGCACCCTGCTCAGATCTCGTCCTTTTAACGTCCTTCCGATTCCTTCGTGAACGGAAAATGACGCCATTCTCGTCCTCGCCAGAAACTCATGCGGCGGAATCCGATCTCCAGAACCGAATCCTCCGCAGTTATAATCATCATCAAAATCATCATCCTCACTGTCTCTCCTCCGATTCTCCGTGTAATTTTCCTTCAGTATCTTAGACCAGTCCGGAACATTGACCGGCAGGGACGACGCCATTCCCCTAACCTCTCCTCGCTTCACCGCCACCGATGAAGACCTCTTCGAGATCCGCGAACTCGGCACCGTCTTACGCAACTCAGGCGACACCGATACGTTCCAGACGTCGGATTCGTCAAGCTCAAACATTGAATCCGATCCGACAGAACCGTTCCTTTCGCCTGATAGGAACCCGTAGTTTGGTCTAGCGAAGTAGCTCTCCGATGCCGCCATAACGATGGATTAAACAAGAACAATTTTCGATCGATCGCTCTCTCAAAAATCTTTTCCGGTGAAGTTCTGATATCGTTGATGAACCGTATGATCGTTTCACCCTGCTTTTTTATAAAGCCTTCAAATGGATAAGGTTTCATTTTCTTTCTTTTGAATTTATTTAAACTACGCTTCTTTTTTACTTTTTTATTAAATACTAAAAAAAAAAAAAAAAAACACATATATCTTTAAAATTTGAATATTTCATTTTACGATCTGTATTTAATTTAATTCAACATAAAATTTAATTATATAAATTATTTTTTCCCACTTGTTTATAATTTATAATTTAAATAGATAATGTATTCGAGTATTAAATGAAGTTAGCGATAATTTCAGCTCTTTTTCCATGTAAATGCATTTGGACTTATCCACTTTCAATATTGGGTGGCGCATTCTCATTGGTAAAGTCTGGGTCCCACTCATAATTTACCTTTTTAAACTTATCCAATTTAACTGTACGTTTCATCCAAACACGTGTCATACTCAGCCAAACTTGAAATTGGTCGATAGGGGTAAAATGGGGATTGCCTTTATGAGTTTTGTCGCGACTCGGGGGTGCGTAGGGGGATCGATCTGGTGTTGCTTCTGGGCCTGGTGCATGGAAAAAATGTGGTCCCCTTTGATTGGATAAAGGAGATGCAGACGCGTGTCAAGTAGCTTATTATGCCATCTGGATGCGTAAGCTAGTGTAGTTATACTCAAGATGGGTTTCCATTGGAGACGCCACGTGAAATGAAAACCATTGGGTCCTCTGTGACAGCTGGCTTCTCTTGGAGCTGTCTCTCAAATACGCCACTGGAAAATTCGTAATCGTACTCTCTTTTTCTTTCTTTTTCTTTTTTTTTGCAAATAAATGGTTGTTTTTTTGTTTTTTAATTAAGTACGATATAAATAAATTTGTTTATGTGAATTAATTTGTATGTATTACTTGAAAAAAATAAACAAATTTATTTGGAATGATTGTTTAGAGATGAAATAAGCAATTTTTTATATAAAAAATGATGGGTTTCGAAAAAAAAATTGATTTTATGTATAAAATTCTCCTTAAAAACTTGTTGAATAAGTCATTTACAATATTATTATTATGTCATTACTAAACAATCATGTATGTTCATATAACTTATACACTAAAGTTGTGAATTTTATTAAACTTATTAAACGGTTAATAAATAAACACTAAGTCAATGAACCAAGTAGTTATATAATTATATTATTTTTAACTAACATGTTTAACATAAAACATAGTTAAAATGATAAGTCATTTTTATATTCTTTTGTCACAAATTAGCATTTCACGTTAATTAATTTGGTTAAAATTGCTCAAAAATAATATATTTGATATGATCAGTCATTGGTAAGAATATAATTGTATGACTAACAATAAAATTATTCAATAACACGTATTAAAAAAATATAAAAAAATAATTAATATATTTGTCTATTGGCATTTTTAATCTCAAATATTCTTTCCTTGAGACTCAAAACACTACACTTAAAAAGGGACGTACCTTTTTTATAAGTTCTTGAACGATCAAATTTTATTTTTATCAATAATATTTAATTTTTTAATTTAAATTCACAAGTTATGGTTATATTGGAAATGTTTTATTATTTACACAAATCGATCTAAATATATTTAGATATTCACATGGATATAAAGGAAATTTGCAAGAGCAACGAGGTATATCCATGGTATATAACGTATTATTGCATATAAGACATGTGTATGTCAAAAAACACGTCCAATCCAAAAATATCCAGATGAAGGTAACCAATTCAGATAACGAGTTCATGTACATTGTCGGGATTACAATTTTAACGCATTCGATCAATGACAAATAATGGCATATATGATATTATCTGGTTACAAGTTAAAAACGTCATTTATCATTGAATTTTTTTTTTCATTGTCTTTGTATATGTCATAATCCTACTAAAAAACAAGCTATTGTATGCAACTTTCGGTGGTAATGTATTGATATAGATATGCATCCCCCCTCGTACTCATGCCTATCCAATCGGATTCAAGACACGTAAGGCATATACATGGGCTAAATCAGGTACAGTTGAAGATAGTTAGATATATGTGCTATCTTGACGGTGATGTAAGAAATTTTCATTTATCCGGGTATTTGCATTTCTAGATGCTTAGTAATGTCTTGGGTAAGTGGACTGCTATTTTGTCCATTTCGATGCTTAAACTGGTGCCAAATGCATTCCCAATTGATGTTGCTTCTCTATACGGTTCTTCTTCAGCATCGTTCATTTAAACGTGTTTTATCAACTCACCACATAAGTCTTTTGTTTTAACTGATAACCAATTAGCCCATGTACTTTACATTTCATTATGTATCACAAAACCAACCCTTGAATTGATTTTCCCTTTGCGTTTCGGCCACATTTTTGTTCCGTTACACTTTACTAGTTTACTTCCATGCCATATCTTGCGATCTGTAACCATTACGTCCCTAATAAGGCTATGCTTTAGTATAAAATCAAAAGGGAAACCATGCACCATGGCCTACTTTACTTAGTCAACAATGGAGAAAAGAATAAGCTCCGACTTCATTTTCTCCTCCATTCATAACTCACAACTTTTATCATATAATATTCTCGAAGATATTTTTTCAAACCCACTAACACCTCTGTGTCGAGTCTATTTCCTTGTAATGCTATATCGTCGAATTCAAATCGCTAATTATGGTAGATCTCATCATTTTCATTTCAAAATTAGATCAAATTTAAATAAAATTAGACCATGTTTCGAACCCAATACTTTTATTTTATGTAAAGCAGAGTACAATTTCATCTCAAATAAAGAAACATACATGTCAATTGATGTATATTAATTAATAACTTTTATACAATTTTTTTTTAATAAATAATCAAATACATGATAAATATTTTGAAATATGAACCTCGAAAATATAAATTTATACCTGAATGATTATAAAAATACTTTGCAAAACATATGGTTAATAAATAATATTATTTGTGAATAATGATGTTGGTGGAATATTTTTTTTGTAACCACCAAATGGAAAATATTAATTATTTAATAACACCATTAATTTAATATTCATCTTGACAACTATGTTTATGCATTAAAATAACTTTCCAAGCTATCAATTCATTGGGTTTTTTGTTATTTTACATAAAAATAATAATAATTAAAAGTTGTATTTGATCTCATTCATTTGGTGGAGACATTATCTTTATTAAGGAAAAAGCAAACACATTACACATAATCACTCTATCTATTATTTAATATAAATCAAATATTTAAACAATTCCTTATATATCTTGTGAATCAAACTTTATATTATTATAATTTATATTGAAGATGACATATAAAATATTATATGATATAATATGATTGTTTATGCTTTTGTTAAAAGAGTTTATAGATACAAAAGCTAAAAGACATACATGACTATTAAATATAATAAAGGTTAAATTGATGATATATATTTTAATTGTTTTTATAAATATATTCAAATTTATTTATTGGGTAGTCATTTTAACAAAAAAAAAAATTAAAAATACTATACGAGAAGTAATATATATAAATATTGTAAGAGGGACGTTAACTATTTTCATTTAAATGGTATTTAACCACCCAATAAGTCAAACATTTAAATTGGATTTAAGATAAGTATTACCTGTTAATACGAGTATTTTTTATATATAAATATTTAAAAGAACTGGGAAACTGATATGAACTGATATAGATCGTTATTTTTTTATTGATATTTAATCAAATTTATTATAGTTTAACGTTGTTTATAATTTGAAAAGTGATTGACAATTATTTTATTTTGAAAGAACTTTAAAAAGTGTGGGAATACAAAGATATGTCGACACCCCAGTAAAAAATCTTGATGGGATTGTGACTTCTAATGGGTCACACTCTATCTTAATATTGGTTTTTGTGTTTCACTTTATAAAATTGAATTATTTATATTATATTATAAAGTATTTTATAAAAAAAAATTTAAAATAAATTTTATGTATTAAATATTATTTATTGATGCATATTATTTAAAATTCAAAATTACAAGTAATTGTAAGTAAATACAATTGATTAAAGCTTTGTGTTTGAATCATATAATTAACCGCAGATAAACATAATTAAACAGAGAATAAACATCTCATTTTAAAAATAAAAAATATACGATATAATTAGAATAATTTATTGAGTTCTAACAAAATACTTAATTATTATTTTTTATAAAAAATTATATCATTAGAGCAAAAAAAATGAATTAGATAAATTACATAAAAAATGAGAAATTTTAAATTGTTGACTTGGTACTAATATCAATATATATTTTTCAAAATTTTATGATATCTTTATATTCATATTTTATTCAAAAATAAAAACATTATTTTTCTCAAAACCACATAAAACCGTATTATAACATCGATTGAGACAAAAAAAAAATTCAAATTGAGATGTATCTCACTGCATTGTATGAATACTTTTTTAGTTATTAATACATATATAAGTACATTTTTAACACAATATTAGACTTTATTTTATATCGAGATATTTGATATGATCTATAATATTAAAAAAAAAAACTAAATAAAAAATCATAATTAAAGCAAAATAAATAATATAATCTAGCTCCATGTTTTTTTTTTAATTTACTTTTATTAAAGGATTTTTTGAATACCATGTTTAATTTCATTTTTAGATTCATTTCAAGTTTAAAGTGAATAAATTCGTTTAGATCATTTAATGTTTTTACATTATTTTAAAAGTTTTTATTTTTATTAATTAATCACCATTTTTTTTAAATATAAATGATTGTGTCAACAATATTCCAATCTAAAGGACGTATCAGTGACAAAAGTTTCAAAACTGTTGGGTGGTGCAAATAATATTTTAAAGATGGATATTTTATGTGTATAAAGTATTTTTATATTTTATTGTTACGTGTTATTAATTTTTAAACATTTTAGAGAGTTTTTCATCTAATTAATGTAATAAAATGACATGACATCGATTTAAATGGTAACAAATTATCAATT